TATATCGTTTATTGCACTAACTACCACCGGTAAGGAGATTGATACCCACACAAAAAAAGAATTTCTTGCAATAAAAATAATTTTCTAGGATGATCGCCACCCTCACACAGTTGCAGCAGCAACCCCATCTGGCTGCTGCCCTAGCGCAGCGTCAAGCTGCACTCGGTCATGCCCTACCATTGAGCGCATATCTTCTCAAACCCGTCCAAAGAGTACTAAAATATCATCTGTTTATTGAGGTAAGTATTTTTTAAGGCAGTCTGTTCAAAAAAATCTAGGTACCAGAGCTTCTTTTATGCATGTTTGAAAGCTTAAGCGACGCCATTGCCCAAGCGGCAGCTCATAGGGTTCAATCATGGGCGAGATATTTGGCTGCACACTCTCACCAATACCGTATTCAAAGCTGTTTGCTATGCCCGGTTACGGTATCGGGCGAACGTTGGGATCAAAATTTTCTCTTCAATTATATAGAGCTAAGCAGTGGCTTTTTATTCTTTCCAGTAAATGTCCACGTAAAGAACCTAGGACCCAGAATTGCGTGGAACTTTTAGGCGGTGTTTTACGAAGTCATTCAAAGAGCAGTATCAACCGTTTGCTGTGCATTGTTGGATTGAGTGTCGACGCAAATCTAAGAGATCAATTATAATCTCGCTCATACCGTAACCGGGGACACTGATCGAGGAACCGGTTACGGTACTGGGCGAACATTTAGCGATAAAATTTCACTGCCTCGGTGAATCATATGAGCTGCTGTTGGAGCAATAGCTGAGCATTAGCTAAAATCCCCAATCAGTTCCATCCAATTGTAAAACCCAATTACTTGGATTTGCCTGAACCTGCCGTAGATTTCTGAATAGTACCAGAGACTAGGAAGTCATTTGCTGCCCCGTTATGCGCCCTTCGAATCCTGAATGGTTGTTTTTAGAACATGCTGAAGCACTTACCTAGCACATTGCCACCTGACGACTTTGCCGTCGTAAAGCGAGCCCATGAGGTGATGACATCGCAAGCGTCACGAATTAATGATGAAAAGAAACGGGCCGAACATGCTGAGCGAGTCGAACAACTCCAGGCTGCTATTCAGAAATGGACTGTTGACAAGGTGAGAGACCAAAACTACGTTGTTTTAATAAACTTCAATACCATCTAATTTTTTAAAAGTCTGTAGTCAAGATGAAATATGTAATCGATAGTACTGCGCAAGTGTTGCATACTGTTCTCCCCAAATTTCTGTTTTCTATTTTTTTATTTGTTTCATCTGCCCTATAAATTGAATTTATTGCTGTCGTTGAAGCATTTCTTACTCAGCAAATGACCTATTAATGACAACAATATAAGTGTAGTCTTTTCAATTTCCATAAAAAAGTGGAATTTTTGCTCATGTAGAAAAAGAATTATCAGCCAAGAATGTCTGATATATGCCTTAATTCAAAATACTCTTTTTAGCATAACGCGAATCTATCAGCTTATGGTGAACTGTTGCTAGAAGCTCAATTTCGACAAGCTGGTTCAAAAACTATCAGACTGCTATTCTTGTTCGAAGAAATGCTGTTGATTGTAAAGCAAAGAAATTCCAGCTATGTATGCAAAGATTATATCATGGTGAGTTTTCACTTCGTAGAGTTGACTTTTATAAATCCTAAGTCAAAGGATTTCTTGACCAACTTGTGATATTGATGTTTATCCAGTACTTGAAATTGATC